TTTTTTATTTAAAAGAAAAAGAATAAATAGTGAAAACCTGAAGTTTCTGTAATAGAACTTGGCTCCATGTTCTGTTGCCGGACACCACCGCCCCCTGGCGTCTGGACACGTACATCACGTCCTGGCGCAGAGTCCTCGTGACGTCATGACAACCGGCTGCGTCATCAGTCGGCTGCTACGCGTGTTACCGGAGGACGCCACCAGAGGGCGCACCGGGGCATCAGACCGTACAGAACTTCCGCTTGATGTAAACTATAAACTTCCGCTCTTAGCAACAGGCCCCAGCTGCCACGCTACACTGCCCCCAGCGGCCAGGCGCATATTGCATCTGACGCACGCGCGGCGTTCGTTTCCGAGCACGTGCACAAGCGACGCTACAAATAGACGCAGGATGCGCGAGACCGCCGTCATGCGCGCGCGCACACACAGCCGACAGCACGTGACTCGGTGAAGTTCGCAGGGTTCTGACGGAGCGTGAGATTCTCAAAGGTTTGACTTCGTTACTTTCTTCATCGACGCGTTCAACGCGTTCACTTCACGCAAACGCGTCAGCAGCAGCTCGCGATTCACGCACGAGCCAAGCTAACATGCTAACCTGCTAACACGTGCAAGCCGACCTCCGCTCCAGATGTTAATGTCATTTAGTTCGTAGACTCAGCGGCAACTAGCTACTGTTAGCGGCTACTGTGAGCGGTAGCTGGTAGCCGTTCAAAGCCCCCAACAGCCGCTTACAGCAGCTAACGGTGTGCTAACGCTGTGCTAACGGTGTGCTAACAGTGTGCTAACACTGTGCTAACAGTGTGCTAACACCCCCACAGTTGCACAGAAATGATCCAACTCCACCAATAAACAACTAAACACGTGATCATGAAACAGTCGTCATCAGAGTCATCCCAATAAAAAACTATGATCGTGAACTAATTAATTTTCGTGCATGAGCTGAACTTTGACCTCGTTCTCTCAGTGAATTTATACTGAATATAAACAGTTCACAACACTTTAAATTCAGCCATCAT